TGTTGGATCACTGTTCTTTGGAATGAGCACAAATATGAATTTCTTCCAGTAGGTTGCCCAGGTAGCTGTCTTCCAAATTTCTTGGCATAGACGAGTGAGTGATTCCAGCATAGTATCCGTTTGTTGAAACATCTCAGTCGATATTCTGTCAATTCCTGGAGCCTTGTTTTTCACCAGTGCCTTCAGTGCAGCTTAGACTTCCTCCTTCAGTACCATGGGTTCTTGATCACACGCTACCTCCTGAAATGGTTAAACGTCAACCAATTCTTTCTGGTACAATGACTGTGTATTCCTTCCATCTTCTTTTGAGGCTTCTTGCATAGTCAACATTTTGCCCATAGAATCCTTCAATATTGCAACTCAAGGCTTGAATTTTTTCTTCAGTTCTTTCAGCTTGAAAAATGCCAAGTGTATGCTTCCCTTTTGGTTTTCTAACTCCAGGTCTGTGCACATTTCATTATAATACTTTACTTTGTCTTCTTGAGCTGCCCTTTGAAATCTTCTGTTCAGCTCTTTTACTTCATCATTTCTTCCATTCGTTTTAGCTACTCTACATTCAAGAACACGTTTCAGAGTCTCTTCTGACATTCATTTTGGTCTTTTCTTTCTTTCCTGTCTTTTGAATGACCCTTTGCGTTCTTCATATATGATGTCCTTGATGTCACACCACAACTCGTCTGGTCTTCAGTCATTAGTATCAATGCGTCGAATCTATTCCTGAGGTGGTCTCTAAATTCAGGTGAGATATACTCAAGGTTGTATTTTGGCTCTCGTGGACTTGTTTCAATTTTCTTCAGCTTCAACTTGAAGTTGCATAGGAGCAATTGATGGTCTGTTCCGCATTTGGTCCCTGGCCTTGTTCTGACTGATGATATTGAGCTTTTCCATGGTCTCTTTCCACAGATGTAGTTGATTTGATTCCTGTGTTTTCCAACTGGTTACATCTACGTGTATGTTTTTATAGTTGCAGTTAATGTTGTTGAAAAAAATCAGTCATTTGTCTGGCAAAATTCTATCGTGTAATCTCTGGCATCGTTTCTATCATCAGGGCCATATTTTCCCACAGCTGATGCGTTTCCAGCTTTCACATTCCAATCACCAGTAATTATGAATATACGTTAGATCAATTTCAGACTGCAAAAGTTGGTAAAAATCTTCAATTTCCTCAGCTTTAAAGGTGCTCCAGGAAACTCATGATGTTTGATATCATCTGTACTCTCTCCACCCCCAGCCTCATCTTCTCTGTGTGGAGCCACAATCCTTAAGTTCTCAGGGTCTTCTGGGACTTACCTTTTGGGTGCCCTCCTACCTTGAATCCATGCACCTACCATAAAAAGTTTTCTGTGCGATGCGTACAAAACACATTTCCTTTTAAGTAACTCAAACCTTCCTGCAGCTTTATCCCAGACGGCCTGTTCCTTTCAAGCTTTCCTAATACTGTTGATGTTATTAAAGTATAGGTGTCCCTCTCATTATCATAGTGCTCACTTTTCTAAAGAAATACATGATGCTGATTTAGCTGGTAAGGCTACTTTATCATACTCACTAGCTCTCTATCTTTAACTTCCTTGATCAAATGTCCACTGCTTTCTGTCCTAGTACAAGTTCTTTAGGTCAATAAAACTTAAGAGACATCTAAGCACTTGACTACTAGCCAAAAGGTTTGCGCTTCACACCCACCCAGAAGCTCCTCAGAAGACAGGCCTAGCGATCTACTTCAGAAAGGTCACAGCCTTGAAAATCCTGCGGAGCAGTTCTACTCTGCACAAGGGAGTCACATGAGTCGGAATGGACTGGATGGCAACTAACAACAACAACATCATAATACAAAAAAGTCACCCCCATTGTAATATCATCTGTAATCACATTGCATTTGCAGAGAGTATCTCTTAAATGACATGGCAAAATCTTATGACATAACTTTGATTTAGAAGATAAAACTGCAGCTATTATCCCCATCCTTGAGTAAAAAGAATGTTACCCAGCTGGAGCTGGACTCTTACGGACTCACAAGGACTCAAAATGACACATCAACTAGGCCCTGTGGTATAAAAACAACAGCTAGAACAATCTTGTAAAAATATCTTTTATGGACTCTTTCACATAAACAAATCATAAACAGAGCACAAAAGACCCACATACTTTCCATTCTTATGTTTTTCTATTAGTGTTTAGTGAGTAGTAAGATTTGTTGGACCAGTGAAGACCCTCCTGACTGTCGCTACTGAAACGTGTACCAAAGATTATTAAGAAAGACAGTTCAAAATGTAGGGCATGGTGATTCAGCCGTTTTGAACAAATCTGTGAACAGGTGAAGCTTTCAATGATTTTACCCATTTGTAATGTTAATATATATTGATGATTCTGTAACATTCCTCAGACTCGGACAGACACAGCTCTGGCAGCATGCTGGTCCATTCCCACTTTTGCCTCTCTGAACATCTATTGAATAAAATCTTTCTTCTTGCTTTACCATAACTTTGTGGTGATTTCACCCTAGGACACCTTTCAGGCTGGTAGAGGTCTCATCCAGCAGTCATGCTTCCTGTCTCCCATCTGGTACAAACTGGCATAAGTTACTTTCATTAGAAACTCCTTCTGCTGATTTATATCTATAAACTAGACCAGACGCCTTGGAGAAAGTAGAGGTCCAGTAACAAAGCATTTGCCATTTCTACAATGGGCAGTCTTCACTTGTACAGTTCAGTGACATTAATTATGTTCATCATGTTGTTCAACCATCACCACATACCCTTTTTGACTGATTTTGTTTCCCAGACTCCCAGCTGATATCGGACTGTGCCACCCACCTCCATCCTGCAGCAGCTTGCACCAGTGTAGCTAAGGCTGAGAGAGTGCTGGTGCCCATCCACGTGGCCCGAGGGCCTCTACTACACATACACATACATTTAGCTCCTAGCCATCTCGCAGTGCTTCAGGCAGGACACCTACGAGCTCATTATCCCCTGAATCCTGTGGGTGTACAACCAGCGGGGCCAGGCCCTGTGCCTGGGTGCCCGACCAGCGAACGCCATCTTCATCTACCACTGCAAGACCCTGCTCACCTGGCTGCTGCTGGCCCGGTGACAGCCCTGGGAGTCCCTCCTGCACTTCGAGGCCACCAAAATTCCCTTCCGGCCCTGGACCAGCATGAAGGAGGCATCCAGCTGGTGCGCAAGCTGGGCATGCTGGACTGGATCTACCATGACCCACCCGCGGCCTCCTCGTGGGACCACGCACCCCAGCGACTGGCGCCGGAGGTCGTGCCCTTCACCCAGGGCCTCCGGCGGTGGCTGCTGATTGCCAAGCCCTCGTAGCTGCGGCTCTCGCTGGTCGGCCTGCTGGGCAAGGCCATGAAGGTGCTGCAGGCGATGATGAAGATCCAGACCATTGCTGACGTTGGCCTATTGGGGCGCGAGAACCAGCCCAGCCGCCCCTGGCTCATGCTGGCCCCCGCCCCCACCACCACCACGCGCAAGACCTCGTGGGCTGGCTGCTGGGCCACTGCGTGCCCGAGAAGATGGAGAAGCAGCCCACCAAGGTGCTCGTGGAGCTATACATTTAGGGCAGCGCCGCCACAGAGAAGAAGCCCCGCCGTCTTGACCAGGCCTGCGGGGAGGAGTCGCCCATGCGCCACGATTTCGATTTCGTTGAGGCTGCCCAGCCCCAGGAGGGCCGCATATTGGCAACTGGGGGCAGGGAGGGGGGTAGAGAGCTGTATTCAGGATAAATGGGACATAGAGTGTATGTAGAGTGAACGCGAATCCTTCCCTGCACATCCCCATGATGAACAGATGGCCTTCGCACTTTCTGTGGGGCAGACCACGCCCTGCCGGAGCCCAGAAAAGAGGAGTGTGCTCGTCCCCTGCCACTCCTGTGCGTTCACTGACCAGAGCTTGATGGTGGAGGGCAGTGTGCAAGAGCTCTAGGTGCGTGGTCAGTTCACTTCCGCCTGTGCAGCAAAGGGGGTGGGCACAGCGGGGCCCCCACCGCTATGCCACGTGGGCCCTCGAAGCACTACGGGCCAAGCAGAGAGACCCTTGAAGTAGTCCTTTTTTTTAAAGCTTTTGAAAAATGCAGCCCTTTTTTTAGTTCCCTTTTTTTAAGCGTATAGGACACTTTTAGTGGCGCTCATTTCCTTTCTTGCAATGGTTTTTCTCAAGAGCCTTTTCTGTACTGACTTTCCCCTGTAATTCTGGATGTTGGGAGCCACAGTGCTGGGCACGTGGGCACCATTAAATGGCCAGTGCATTTAAAAAAATAAAACCACCAGATGGCTGTTCTTTACTTCTGGGAAATTAAAAAAAGAATTGCAGGATCACTGACTTTGGGTGGCCAGGTCTCTCCAGTCATTGATTAATAACTGAGTGCCTATCATGTACCAGGCAAAAGGACAAAAAAATATACACATGCTGAGTTTCTGTTGAGGGTGATGACAAAAATCTGGGAAGAGATAGTGGTGATGGCTGCACAAAATGATGAGCAGAATTCACGTCACTGAACTGTACATGTAAAAAATGCTGAAATGGCAAATGTTTTGTTATATATATTTGTACATTAAAAAAAATCAGTTATATGAAGAGGAAGTCAATTATAGGGGACCAAGTGTTATGGAGGTATGTCAGCCAGTTAATTAAAAAAACTGTTATTCTTGTGGGAGAAGAAGATTGAAATGGCAAATATTCTGTTATATATATTTTTACAATAAAAAAACACACATGGTCCTAATCATAAAAAGCTCAGTCTCTCAGTATGCATACAAATAAACAAGAAACTATCATACAACCATTAACCCTGGCCCATTTGGCTGCAGGCCACTCCTACCTTTCAACAAACCTCTTCTTTTCAATTACTACAGTGGGTGTGGTGCACTGAAGTATCTTTTTTCATCAGTCCCCCCAAAATGGGTCAAGTCTCAAAACTTTTTTCCTGTTATACTATAATTACAGCCAACAAGAGGTGTAAGTCAGTGAGGTTTAAACCCCATTTCTGATCTGGCTGTGTATTAGGATACATAGTGCAGAGACGGCCAGGAGACTCCCTCTCTGGTCACTGAGTTTCCGACAGGTTTACTGTGTTTCCTGCATCTTGAGGCATTAGAGAAGGAGAACACACTGCTTTGAATGCTCTGGTCAGCTTGGATGCAAGCTGGGGACATGGGCAGGCATCTGAGGATTAGTCCACACTCTAACCTGCTGAAGGCCCACAAAGTTCTCTCTGTGAACATGATACAGGAATATCAGGATCTTTACTTTTAACCAATTAGACCAGATTCTTTGGGGTTGTAATGAGTAAATTATTCTTTCCACCCCACACCAATTACTTCTGCTCTTTTTTTGGTAATGCCTATCAAATTACTGCTTAAATAGTATTACTTATTATTCAGCTATTTAGATAATAAAGAATACATAGACCAAAAAAAAGTATAGATTTCTTTGTATTTATTACATGTTTAACTGAACTTTTCAAATTACAGAATTCAACTCCAAAGTAAGGTAATCAATGCCTGTTGTTATTCACTTGCATTTTTCCCATGTTAAAATCTTAACACAGCAAAACACCTTAAAGACACGTGAATAGATTCAGTACACCTTCAGTGGCTCACAATCATGACACAACGACCACATCTATCCATAATAATATAAGGCCAATAGCTTAATATTTTAAAATGTTAACGACATAAAATAAAACGAAAAAACAAAATACTGCACTTTGACCATAACTGTTTTGGTTAAGTGGCAGAATATTGTTTAAAATAAGGCTTCTCTGCAGAGCATACAATGTGCTTGGCAAGCTGAGCACATCAATGCTCTAATCGCCGCTTAACTCCCACAGGCAGTTTCTCTAGAAGGATCCTATCCTGCTCGGAGTCTCTGATCTGCCTGCCTCCACAGGGACCATTTGGCCAGGAGCTCGACCCTTTCTGCTCCACCTGCTCATAAGGCTACCCTTGATTCTCCCCCAGATTCACACTTGCTGCCATCTCCATTCTCAGCAAAGATGCCTAGCCCAGAACTCACCACGGAGCATCCCCACCACAGCTCCTGCCCTAGATGTTGCTCCATTCACTCAACTAAATTGCAACTATAACGCAAAGAGAATGAGTCCACTCACAAAAATCATTCTCCCTATTTTTTAGTTACATATCCTACAATTCAAAAAAACTTGGTGATACCTGATTTAGAATTCAAAACATTGAGTTTAGGCAGAATATAAACTGAAGTTCTTTAAAATCTACTTTTTTCTATTAGTTGCTTGTTTTTGAAATTATAAAAATATAAAAATTGTAAACATTCTGCTAAACATTTCAGTTAGAAACCCTGTCACGTTGCTTTTTATTTAGAAGGTTCAGAAAGAACACAAGTGACACCATATTCCCTTTGGCTGACCCCAAAATCACGTTCCCAGCCCTAAACCTCCCATTACACATCTTCCACCATGGAAGGCTCTGTACACCAAGCACATCTATCGCGACAACTGCTGACGCCACTCATGAACACACTCTGTAACAAAGCAGCAGACAAGCTCACTGGAATCTCTCCCAGACAGCTGTCCATCTGCTTGCTAGGCGTCTTACACCCACTGCTCCACACCTGATTCAGGCTCAGTGGCCGTGCCAACACATGGAAGGAAGGACACACAAAAACTGGAGCACCTCCTCTGCCACAACACTGCATTCTTTTTTGCAAAGTGAGAAGGGACTTCCTCTCTTTGTCTGAGTAACAGCAGAATCAGCTAAGGAGCTGAGGGGAGGGATGCTGCTGACAGAGGTAGGAATAAAAGGAAAGCTAATGAGCCCACCCCACCAGTGTCCACCACACCCCCCGGAGTCAGCACATTCCCTTCACCACAACACTGTTGGGAGCTTGAGGAGTCGTCCGATTTTCTACTCGAAAGGAGGAATCACTGCAGGAAATTCCAGTCACTTATCATTATTCTTGTAGCAAGGTTTTACCATATGTTTTTAAAAGAATGAAATTAACAAGATGTTACAATTTAAAATGAGTAATTTAAAGTTAATCATGAAAAAAAAACACTGTCTTTGTTTTTTGAGGGGAATACTCTAAGACACAAATGACTAATGAAATCTATCAGCTATGGGGAAGCCCCTTAGTATCTTTATCAGCTATGATTAATGACATAACCTAAAACCAGAATTCCTGACCATGGTGATAAACAGTACCAATTAACCAGAGTATTAACTGCAATGACTTAAAACTACATTACTGAATAGTCTCCATGGTGAAGTTTCAGAAAAAGTGAAATAATAAATATTTCCCACAGCACCATAAGGTTTTGTAAAATACTATTTCAGTTTTTAATATTAATGTAAAATCTCAATATTTTGGTCCATCATTCACTAAGCTTAATATCTTCTTTTACTGGTTAACAGTTCTGACAGAGGCCAAATAGGCACAACTATAAGATGAAAAGGACATATTTTACTGAGGAACCTGTATGGTATACTTCAAGACAGTCACTGCTTCGGCTATATCCATTGAGTACCAGTGGCTTCAAAGGCCAGGAAGGACGGCTCTGCCATTTATCTAAGCCCCAAATTTAAACTGGCCAAAAGAACTTAAGTGGTAACTAAGATATTCGCCATAACTCAAAAGTCCTTTTATATCTGCCTGCTTTGGTACTGTGTGCTCTTACGGGTTTTGTTTCTGTAATATTTAATAAATGGCTCTGAGTTTTTAAAATAAGAATACAGTGATTCACCTTGAATTTTAAAAATAAATGCAGTTGGAAAACAAATTTTACAGTCAAATTATATAGAATTATGTGTAACAAATTCTATATAATAAAAACATTTTATCACAGATTGGTTCCCCCCTATTTCCAGCATGCTCATGGATTCCCTACAAATGCCAGTGTGGGCTATACCAACTTAGTTCAGCACGGATCTAAGCAAAACATAACTGAAAGTACTGATTTGCCCACCAAAAAGGATACACTGCATTCCAAAGCCAAACATGAATTAGGTTTGGTATAGCAATTTTGTCTCCTCTCCCTTATCGCAGACAACTAAGACTTGGCTGTACTACAAATCAGCTAGCACTAGAGGAAATCTGCTATAAAATTATTTATAATAAAATAAATATTTTCAATCCCTCTACACTAAGTGATATATAAATCATTAGCAGTTTATAACATTAGCTTAGGTCACTTTTTTTGGACCCAAACATACTGTACAGTCCTGAGTAAAAGGTTAAGGATACAGCTTCTTGGGGATCCTTCTTGACCAGGAATCGTAAGACACATAAAACCACAACTCATAATAATCCCCATTTTCATTAGAAGTACCATGAGTTCTTTTTACTTTGGTAAATAACTTTATCTGTGTAAACCTTTTATTGTGATGGAGAAAACATGAGCAGAGCTTCTGCTAGGACCCCTCCATCACTTTTTGACACTGATACAGTACATAGTCGGGAAGAGCAGAGCAGGAGGATCTGAACCACAGGGCTAGTACATCAGCATGAACTCGGAAATGCAGCAGGCAGGGCATGGATGGGAGCAGCTGACAGGCCAACAGCCCTTCATTGTCTGCAATAAAACACAAATTTTACATTTTTTAACTTAGTCTGAACAACACACTCATTGGAAAGTTTCTCCTAACAGGGAACACAGCTCTAAGAAACCTGACGCTCGTCAGAGTTAGTGGGTGCTCCGACTGTGAGAAAGCCCCCACAAACACAGGGCTGCCTTTTTATAACTGTACCAACCTATAACGTCAACAATATGAAGTCTCAGCTTCTGTTGCAGGGTCTTTAGGGCAGAAGGCAGAGCAGCTTGAGATTCTGACATTTTTACATTTTGCTTCACATCATTTGCAAAGGATAACCAAAGTCTGCCAAAGTCTTCAGTAGAGATTTTTAATGGTCTGAAAATAATTTTCAAAATTAGATTTATGCTCAGAAGAATAAAATGATTCTAAACAAGCAAACAAATCATTTCAAATGAAACATGAGAATAAAACATACAATCATTATAAATGTGCATCCCATAAAATTTACGTTTTTAAACCCAATGAAATAAAATAGTGAAAGCAGATGTTATTAAACTGCAAATGTCTTTTCAGTAAAATCACTCAGTTCTCTACTAGTCGTTCTAGTAGACTTTTCCAATTAATTTCATTAATCTTCAAATACAATATAAAACTTTTCTTTCATGTATACTTAGTATTTGGGGATAATGAGATACTCTATCATAGTCACATAAAAGAGTAGGAACACAAAGACCCAGTACCTTGTAGAAACTAGACTAACAAAGAATTTTAACAAACGTATTAAAAAACAATGGCTCATGAGACTAAAGGTCAAATAGTTAACTGGATATCTCTGGGAGTGGGATTTTAGGAAACTTTTATATTATATTTTTCTATAACACTTGAATTTCTATAATAAGTACCTATTGACTTTATAATCAGGAAAAATATTTTTAATTAAAGATACATGATTTTACTAAATGCATAGAACTGTTAGAGTTACATATATTGTGCTTCTTAAGGTTACTAATGCTCACTGCGATGGGATATACCTTCACAGCCAGAGAATGGAAGCTTTTTGAAGGCTGGATTCTATTTTATACAGCATCACTGGCATAAATACCTTGGCAAATTCATCAACACATTTACTAAAAGACTGTAAAGCATGAGCAAAAATCACGGCAGTGTAAACAACACAAGTGGATGTACAGAGGTTAAAAATTTTACAAGTATTATTTTGTATTCTTGGTTAACACAGCCTTTACTTAAAAAATGTTCAAATACAGTACAATATATTTATAAAACTAAAAGACGGCAGAATAACTAAGAGACTGTTTTCAGTTCTGTTGATAACACTGCATGGTGTCTCACATAATGCTAAAAACTTACTGCATGTTTAATAAAAAGTTGGTAAATACTGTTGTCTGCAGATCTCTAAAGCTTAATGAACAGATTTTATGAAAGAATTAATCAGATGAATGAAATACAAATTGAGACAAACTTTTAAAACTTAAAAAAACAAAAACAAAACCATGAGTCATCTTTGAAGTTACTTCAGTTTAAATGTTACTTCCTCTCCGAAGTGTTCCCAGATCACCAACTGACCCCAACTAAATCAGGTCCCACATTATAAACTTCTCATTGTACCATTTACCTCCCCTTCACAGCACAATGAGTAACTACATATGTGTTTACGTGATTGTTCAGTATCTCCCTCCCTAGACTGGAAGCTCCCTGAAAGTAGTGACTGTGTCCATTTTTGTCACAACCTAGCATTGTGCCTCTGTCGAGAGAAGATACTCAATAAATATTTGCTGAATGAATAACTTGAATTAACATTCCAGAAAATATTTACCTAATAAAATCTAGTAGTGATAAGGTTACTGAAAATTCCAGCTGAGCAGAACGACTATCTATCATTTGATAATTTATAAAACCAGAAAGAGTCCCTTCTGTAAAAGGTTTTTCCATCTGCACACTATGTTGAAAACTTTTCGTGCTTTCTGCTTCTATTATTGGCAAACAGCATTCAGGTTGTTCAGTGATCTGTAAATACAAGGAATAAAAGTATTGAAAAAAAAAGGATCAATACATATTATATGGATACCAATTTTCTATTTAATTGAAGCAGTAAAAAGCATACTAATGTGAGAAATTAATAACAAACTACATTACAAAGATGCCTGACAACTTCACTTAAGAAAAATTCCCTACAATGTCAGGAGCCCTAATACATGGCATAAACACAATACGAACCATAAGGAACAATGCACAAGCACAAGAAAAGAGACTAGATAATTGGGAGCTCCTAAAAATCAAATACTTATGCTCATCAAAAGTCTTCACCAAAAGAGTCAAAAGACAACCTAAAGACTGTGAAAAAAATTTTGGCTACGACAAATCCGATCAGCGTCTAATCTCTACAATCTACAAGATACTGCAAAGCCTCAACAACAACAAGACAAATAACCCAATTAAAAAATAGGCAAAGGATATGAACAGGCACTTCTCCAAAGAAGATATTCAGGTGGCTAACAGGCACATGAAGCAATGCTCACAATCATCAGCTATTAGAGAAATACAAATCAAAACTACAATGAGATATTAATTCACCCCAACAAGGCTAGCATTAATCCAAACAACACAAACTAATAAATGTTGGAGAGGCTGTGGAGCGACTGGAACACTTACACACTGTTGGTGGGAATGTAAAATGGTACAACCACTTTGGAAATCGATTTGGCGCTTCCTTAAAAAGCTAGAAATAGATGTACCATATGATCCAGCTATCTCACTCCTTGGAATATATCCTAGAGAAATAAGAGCTGTCACACGAATAGATATATGCACACCCATGTTCACTGCAGCACTGTTCACAATAGCAAAAAGATGGAAACAACCGAGGTGCCCATCAACGGACGAATGGATAAACCAATTATGGTATATCCACACAATGGAATACCATGCAACGATAAAGAACAATGATGAAGCCATGAAACATCTTATAACATGGAGGAAGCTGGAGATCATTATGCTGAGTGAATTTAGTCAGTCACAGAGGGACAAATATTGTATAAGACCACTATTATAAGAACTCAAGACAAGGTTTAAACACAGAAGAAAACATTCTTTGATGGTTACAAGGGTGGGTAGGGAGGGGGAGGGTTACTTTCTAACTAGATAATAGATAAGAATTATCTTAGGTGAAAGGAAGGACAGCACTTACTACAGGGGAAGTTGGCACAACTGGACTAAACCAAAGCTAAGAAGGTTCCTGAATACAATCAAACACCTGAGGGATACAGTAGCAGAGGCAGGGGCCTGGGGAACATGCTTTCAGGGGACATCTAGGTCAACTGGCATAACAAAGCTTATTAAGAAAATGTTCTCCATCCTACTTTGGTGAGTAGCATCCGGGGTCTTAAAAGCTTGCAAGCGGCCATCTAAGATGCATCATTGGTCCCAACCACCTGGAGTAAAGGAGAATGAAGAACACCAAAGACACAAGGAACACAAGAGACAGAAAGGGCCACATAAACCAGAGACTTCATCAGCCTGAAACCAGAAGAACTAGATGGTGCCTGGCTACCACCAATGACCGCCCTGACAGGGAACACAACAGAGAGTCCCTGATGGAGCAGGAGAAAGGTGGGGTGCAGAACTCAAATTCTAGTAAGAAGACCAGACTTAATGGTCTGACTGTGACTGGAGGTACCCCAGAAAGCATGGCCCCTGGATTCTCTATCAACCCAGAACTAAAACAATTTCCAAGGCCAACTCTTCAGATAGGGATTGGGTTGGACTGTGAGGCATAAAGTGATACTCGTGAGGAGTGTGCCTCTTAGCTCAAGTAGATACAAGAGACTAAACAGGCAGCTTCTGTCCGGAGGTGAGATGGGAAGGCAGAGAGGGTTAGGAGCTGGTTGAATGGACATGGGGAATCAGTGGGGGAAAGGAAGAGTGTACTGTCACAGTATGGGGAGAGCAATTAGAGTCACGTAACAATGTATGTATAAATTTTTGTATGGGAAAAAAAAAAAGAAATACTTTGAACATGAAAATTTCCTTGCTCCCTGATGGAGCAGGAGAAAAGTGGGGTGCAGAACTCAAATTCTAGTAAAAAGACCAGACTTAATGGTTTGACTGAGACTGGAGGGACCCCGGAACACACGGCCCCCAGACTCTCTGTTAGCCCAGAACTGAAACCATTCCCGAGTCCAACTCTTCAGATAAAGATTAGACTGGACTATGGGGCATAAAATGATACTCGTGAAGAGTGTGCTTCTTGGCTCAAGTAGATACATGAGACTAAATGGGCGGCTCCTGTCCAGAGGCGAGATGAGAAGGCAGAGAGGGTCAGGAGCTGGTTGACTAGACGTGGGAAATCAGGGGTGGAAAGGAGGAGTGTGCTGTCACAGTATAGGGAGAGTAACTAGGGTAACAAAACAACATAGGTATACATTTTGTATGAGAGACTAACTTGAATTGTAAACTTTTACTTAAAGCACAACAATAACAAAAAAAAGAAAAATTCCCTAGCATACATACTTAAAAAATAATAGTATACAGGTGCAAATTATGTAACAAATAGCATTATAATTAAAATATGTAATTTTTTTAAAAGATTATTAAATTCCAGTCTTGTGGCTCTCAATCCTGGCTGGCACCAGATTTTCATAGCTAGAAGCTTTAATCAAAAAAAAAAAAAAACAAAAAAAAAAACGGTGTCTTCTCTTCTCCTCCTCCACCGCTACTCAAGCTCTGGCTGTAGAGCTCAGGCAACTAGACAGGTGATTTTGTTTTCAAGTTCCACTGGTGATCCATTGTAATACACATATAGAGTCAGAAACTTCTGCCCAGTCAGTAGCCCATGCAATGTATCAGTCAACACATTGTAGCTCAAAGAAGAAACTGGTTCAGTTTTATAAAAGACTGATATACTGGTCAAACTCCACCAAGGACATCCAAACAATAATACAATAAGCCATACATCCAGAAATCACAATGACAATCTCTTGGAACTATGATAGAGACAAAACTGATACCCATGTACTAAGTACAGAATAAATCAGTGAGAGAAAAAGAGGAATTTAACAGTATACACATTTATTGTTCAATATTCTTACTCCCTGATATTCTTGGATTTATGCAAGCTTAATGATATGAGAATTTTGTTTAGGTGTTTATGACAAGAATGAATGAAACATTTAAACAGTGCAGGAAAAGAATGTAAAATACACCCTTAAAGTAACACAGTAACACTAACATGTGCCATGTAGGCTATAAGCAATACACAGACATTATCTCATTTAATCTGCAGCCAACAGGAACACAATATCAGTATCCTCATTTGACAGATGTGGAAACTGAGGTACTAAGCAATTAAATAACTTGTCCATGGTAACACAGCTAATACATACCAGAGGCAAGATTCAAAGCCAGCAGTCTGAGTCCAGAGACTACATTCTTCACTACCATGCTCTATTAAAACTCACTTTATATCTATGGCCTTCCCCAATACAATCTTTATCATGTTTCCTTCTTTGTCTCTTTTGAATAATTCTTCCCCACTAAGAGTAATAAAAAAATTTGTCACACTTTTTGCTTTTGTTGTGAGATAAGAAAATGTGGAAGAAAAAAATTTTTTCATCAGAAGAGCTAACTGCAGAAACACTAAGCACTGTCCATATAAGGCAGATATGATGAACCATTCATTGTCTTACCTTGAAATTCTCTGCAGGAGCAATTTCTAAGTTAGCACTTTTCAATTCTGAACAACTCTTATTAGCAACTGACCAGACCAGCAATAAACAATCATCTTTCCAAATTTTGTACGAAGATACTGATATGGTTTCATTATTACAGACCTCCATGAGATCTGAATGCATGTGTTCAGTAGGCTCTTCCAACAAAGAAGCTACAGAAATTTCATTGGCAGCTGAGGCTGCAGTAGATGGAGAAGGGTGAAAAATTTCCAAGTTGTTATCAGCAAACAAAGAAGGTGCAGACATGCTGCAATTTGAGAGTTTCTCAACCACGGGCAGTTCTGTGAATGATTCAGAATCCAAAAGTTCTGAATTGAGGGAAAATTGCTTTAATTTTTTGTCTCTTCTATCTTGTAAAGTATCCAAATAATAATCTTCTTCATATGCTGCATTTGACAAAGAACTAAAGGAAGAGCAGGTCATATTATGAGTACTGGTTGTTTCTCCGCTGTTTATTTCCTTGGTTTTTGATTTCCTTCTGAACTTGTGAGAGACAGTATCTGCTTTTCCCAGCTGTAAAAATAAAAAATAATATAAAAAATAATTTTTACTGAGCATGAGTTTTAAACATTCTTCTATAATTTTAGATGAATAATTTACTGATTGCTAAGGTTGTATCTATAAACTATAAATTAACAAAGAATCAGAGACGAAGAAAATGTTAAACCCTGGAATTCTAACAGGTACACAACTGATCCATTAGCAAAATCTAATCTCTCATTCAAAACACATATAATCAGAAAAAGAAAAAACGTCAAAAAGTCAATTGTGAACAATTCTAAAAGCCTATTAGATTTCAGAATTTAGATTGCACAGTAAGAAACTGAAATTATACACCTAAAAAATGTTGAACTGGGGCTGCAGAACTCAAATTTTAGTAAAAAGACAGACTTAATGGTCTGACTGAGACTGGAGGGACCCTGGAAGACACGGCCCCTGGACTCTCTGGTAGCCCAAAACTAAAATTATTCCCGAGGTCAACTCTCCAGACAAAGATTAGACTGGACTATGGGACATAAAATGATACTCATGAAGAGTGTGCTTCTTAGCTCATGCAGATACATGAGACTAAACGGGCGGCTCCTGTCCAGAGGCAAGATGAGAAGGCAGAAGGGGACAGGAGCTGGTTGAACGGACACGGGAAATACGGGGTGGAAAGGAGGAGTGTGCTGTCACAGTATAGGGAGAGCAACTAGGGTCACATAACAATGTATGTATAAATTTTTGTATGAGAAACTACTTGAACTGTAAACTTTCACTTAAAACACAATTTAAAAAATGTTGAATGGCAAATGTTGTTATATATATTTTAAAAACAAACAAAAAAAGTGAGAAACCTAGTCATTTTCAGTTTCTAGAACTGTCCTATAGAAGCCTAAGATACCTTCAAATATTACAGGGATGGCCTCAACTCTGGTTTGGTAATCTGTAATAATCACGACTTCATGACATGTGGTCAATTAGGAGGGAAGAAAAATTGGTTTTATCACAACAATCAACTGGTAGTGGCTGACTGGAACACTCAGAAAGAAAGAGTTCTCCTAACTGTTTAATGAAATTTGCTACAGACACAGGAGACAGGAACAGCAAATTCGCCATCCTGTATCTAAACTTGCTGAAGAATGGTCTGCAAATATACGTAAAAAGAGTGATGGTTCAAGAGTTCCCTTGTCTCTCTAAGTCCTATCTACAATCAGTGCACCCTCCTGGAGCCTTCAACATTGGGCGGCCATGCTACACATAATTCTAATGAACCAGAATTCTAATTACCTCTTTCATACCCTCTCCTTTCTCCTCAAGCCCCAGTATCTTCTTCTAACTCTCAACATATGAGTTTGTCTCCTACCTCCCAAGTCAGAACTCATCAAACAAGAGCTAACATTCTATTAAAACAAAAGTAAAAATAAAGGGAAGTGGGGGGGGAGGGACAAAGGACTTCCACTGTCAGTCACGGGACTCAAATTAGATATATATATTAGACTGCTTGATACTGTTCCTCAGGTCATTGATGCTCTGTTAATTTTTTTTTCTCTGTTCTTCTTTTGGATACTTTCCATTACTCTGTCTTCAAGTCATCCAGTTCTGCTGTTAATAAGAAGCTACAGAAATGAGAAGATACTGGAGTGACACTTTATTAACATAGTTACAGAAAAGAAACAGCCAATCTAAAATTGCATGTTCTGAGAAAATATCTTTTAAAAGTGAAGGTGAAATAAAGACTTTTTAGACAAAAGCTAAGAGAATTTGTCACTAGTAGACCTGTTGTGATGGTTCAAGTTGTGTGTCAATTTTTCTAGGCCATGCTTCTCATTGTTTTGGCAGTTATGTAACGATGTAGTTTGGCAGTTGTGTAATGATGTAGTTAGTCATCCTCTATGATGTGATCTGATATGATCAGCCAATCAGTTGTAAGGGACGTTTCCTTGGGGGATATGGCCTGCATCCAACATATATATGGACATTCTGGCAAACTTGCTTTCTTGCTCTGGATCCTGCATCTGATTTGTCATCATCTGACCTCTGGTTTGTGGGACTTGAGCCAGCGGTCTGCCATATTACCTGCCAATCTTGGGATTTGTCACGCTCCACAGCCTGTGAGCCAGCAGCATGCCATCTGACCTGCCAATCCTGGATTAATTGGACTCCTCAGCCTGTGAGCTAGTAGCGTGCCATCTGATCTGCTGCCTTGGGTTTGTTAGCCCCTGCAGCTACGTGAGTCAGGAGAAGCCTTCAACCTAACATCTGACTTGGGACTTGCCAGCCTCTTCAACCACATGAGCCATTTCCTTGAGATAAATCTCTGTCTCCCTCTCTCTATATATATATACACATATAAGTGTATCACAACAGGTCTACTAGTGACAAATTCTCTTAGCCATATATACATACATACACACACACCTGTACTAAAAGACACTTGTACTACAGGAAATGTTTAAGGACATTTTTCAGTTGCAAAGGAAATGATACCAGATGGAAACTTGGATCTATAAAGTTTGAAAAGAGTACCCAAAATGGTAAATATGTGGGAAAATAAAGGAGACATTTTTTGCTCATTTTCAGTTTATTTAAAAGATAGTTAACTATTCAAGGCAAAAATAGTAACAATATATTGTGGGTTTACAAGACGTAAAATGAATGACAATAGCACCACAAAGAACAGGATGAGGGAATGAAAGTATACTGTTATAAAGTTCTTATAGTATACGTGAAGTGGTGTAATATTACTTGAAGGGGGTAAATTAAAGATATATATTATAAAGTCTAGAGCAACAGCTTAAGAAAAAAGGTATAGTTAATAAGTTAACATTCAGATGAAACAGAATACTAAAAATTTCTCAATCTAACAGGAGGAGGGGGAAAAAAGAAGAAAAACAAAAACAGATGGGACAAACAAAAAACCTATGGCAAGATGGCAGCTTTAAACACAATCATAATTATATTAAATGTAAACAGCATAATCATGCAGATTAAAAGAGATTATTAGATGGATAAAAAGCAATATCCATATATTACTGTCTATTATAAACTTGGAAACCCTGGTGGCGTAGTGGTTAAGAGCTATGGCTGCTAACCAAAAGATCGTTAGTTCGGATCCACTAGGCACTACTTGGAAACTCAATGGGGCAGTTCTATTCTGTCCTATAGGGTCGCTATGAGTGGGAATCGACTCGACGGCAACGGGTTTGGTTTTTTCGGTTTTATAAGAAACTCACTTTAAATCCAAAGAAATAGATAGTCTGAAAGTCATAAGATGGAAAACATATTAAGCATAAGAAAGCTAAATGACTTTATTAATTGCAAACATAGTAGAATTCAGAACAAGGATATTACCAGAGATAAATGGATACAAGGTCATTATGATATTACCATTTCATAATGATAAAAGGGTCAATTATCAAGAGGACATAAAAATCCAAAACGAATATGCACATAATAGCAAAGCTTCAAAATACATGAAACCAAAACTGACAGAAATGAGAGACAAATCCACATATATAGTTGGATACTTTTTATACTCTTTTCTTAATAATTGATAGAACAAGTAGACAAAAGATAAGTAAAGATATAAAACACTCAAAAAACACTACCAATCAACTTGACCTAACTGACACTTATGAACTATTCCACCCAACAAGAGAAAAATGTACCATTTCCTTAAGTGCATACAAAACATTCACTAAGATAAACCACAATATGTGCCTAAAACAAGTTTCAATAAATTTAAAGAAATTGAAATCATACAAGTATGTTCTCTGACAACAAAGGAATTAAAATAGATAACCATAATAGAAAAATATCTTGAAATCCTCAAATATTTAGAAATTAAACAACTCTGAAGAACCACCATTCAAAAAAGAAATTATAAGGGAAACGAGAAATTATTTTGAACTAATTGAAAATGAAACTACAAATTATTAAAATTTGTGGGGGAGGCGGAGCAAGATGGTGAAGTGAGTGGATGTTCTCATTTACTCCCCCAGCAACTAACCCACAGAACAATGAATAAAAACAAGCATAGACTGAGATCTCAGAACTCCAGACAGTAGCTGAGGTGCTGGAGAGCTGGGGTGAGTCCAGAAGCAGGGAAGAGGAGAAACACGACGCACAGAAGCTGGGAGAACCTACCCACTAACAACATCAGGAACATTCATTCATCACAGTCATTTGGGAGTAGAGCTGGGCAACACACCAAACAAGGAACACAGAAAGGGAGCTAACCTGAGGAAGTTGTAGTCAGATTTTTTAAGGTGAAGCAGACTGGCTATGGGAGATTGTGGGCCGCACAATTGGGAGGGGCAAAAGGAGACCATGGGACTGTGAAAGAATGCTGTTGAATCCTGGTGAGGCCCAAAACAGACATGCACTAAGACAAGGAGAAACTGCCAGGGCAGCAGGGAGAAGGGAATACTTTGGACAGACAGGCAACACAGAGGAAAATGGCTGGCTCCCTGCCCATGTTGGGACATACTGAGAGAGCCTGTGAAGGGGTGCCCATGAGGGAAAAACACAGAGAGCCCCCCATCACTGCCACAGGAAAGTCGAGCCCCACCGCTTATGTCAGAGCCCGCAACTAGCTAAACTTCCTCTCCCATGTATCCAGGACCATATTAGCACTGAAAAAACAACCTAAGGATATAAGAGTGCCCTCTAGTGGTTCTCAGGAGAAGATACCATGCCCACTGTTGCCAGGTTAATTCTGACTCATAATGACACTGTGGGGCAGAGTGGAGCTGCCCTGTGGGGTTCCCAGGGCTGTGAGTCTTTGCAGAGGTGGGCTGTGGCATCCTTCTCCTGAGGAGCGGCTGGTGGGTGCAGGCCCCAGCCTTTCAGTTGGCAGCCAGGTACTTGGCTGCTGCGCCACCAGCACACCCAATCAGAAAAATTTCCCACAAAAACCAGAACACAAAATTTAAATTAAAAAAAAAAGATAAGAAAATGGCCCGAGTTCAACAAAAAATAGTAAAAACACACAAAATCACAGAAGGATCAAAAGCAAAACATGAACAGGG